AACCTTGAATTCGATTTTTGTTAATCTAAGTTTAATTTTGGACCTTAATGTGGACCAATTTGAAGACCAGGCCCAAAATCAAAAATCTAAATTACACAGTTAGATTCAGCATATCAAAGAATCCCAAGATGATAATTTTTGTTTAAATCAAAGTAAGTTTAATTTTTGACCATTTGGACCTCAATGTGCACCAATTTAAAAACGGGGCCCGAAATCCAAAATCTAAAAACACGGTTAGATTCAGCATATTAAAGAACCCCGACAATTCAAGACTTTGAATTAAACTCCATTGAAATTGGTCAAGAAATAAACAATTTATACAAAGTATTAGAAAAGTTTTGTTTTTAGCTCCTTTCTGGTCCTTAATTTTTAAACAGTTCGTACAATAACCCCAAAAGTAAATTCCAACCTTTCTTTTGTGGTATGGAACCTTGTGGTACAATTTCATAGAGATCCATACACTTATAATGAAGTTATTGTCTGGTAACCAAATGTCTTCGGACGACGGCGACGATAAGCTTTCGAATGGTGTATAAAGTTTTTCTATAATTAGGGGTTGAAGGGTTGTAGCAGTCCATTCCATTATTCAAAATAAGCTATTTCTTATTGTTGAAGCGTATTTTGACATTTAGGTCCTCCGAAACTCCTCTAATAGGCGTTGCGGTACATATTAACTATAAACTTTTTATTCCTCTATTGACAAGCTTTCAAATGACGTTTAAGGTATATCTGTAATTAGGGGCTAAAGGGTCGCAGCAGTCCATTCCATTATTCAAAATATCAATTTCATTATTCAAAATTGGCTATTTCTTAATTTTCACGCGTATTTTGGCATTTAGGTCCTGCGTAACCCCCTCTAATGGGCATTGCGGCACATATTGATTATAACCATTTTGTTCCTCTGTCGATAAGCTTTCGAATGGTGTATAAGTTTTCTCTGTAATTAGGGGCTTAAGGCTCGCAGCAGTCCATTCCATTATTCAAAATTGGCTATTTCAAAATTTTCACGCCTATTTTGGCTCTTAGGTCCTCCATAACCAACCCCTCTAATCGGCATTGCGGCACATATTGATTATAACCATTTTGTACCTCTATCGATAAGCTTTCAAATGGTGTATAAGGTTTCCTTGTAATTAGGGGCTGAAGGGTCTTAACAGTTCATTCCATTTTTCAAAATGTCCATTCCATTATTCAAAATTGGCTATTTAAAAATTTTCACGCCTATTTTGGCTTTTAGGTCCTCCGTAACCCCTCTAATCGGCATTGCTGCGCACATTGACTATATACCTTTTGTTCCAATATGGATAAGCTTTCAAATGGTGTATAAGGTTTCTCTGTAATTAGGGGCTGAAGGCTCGCAGCAGTCCATTCCATTATTCAAAATTGGCTATTTCAAAATTTTCACGCCTATATTGGCTCTTGGGTCCTCCGTAACCCCTCTAATCGGCATTGCTGCACATATTGATTACTAGTATATACCTTTTGTTCCTCTATGGATAAGCTTTCGAATAATGTATAAGGTTTTTCTGTAATTAGGGGCTGAAGGGTCTTAACAGTTCATTCCATTATTCAAAATGTCCATTCCATTCTTCAAAATTGGCTACTAGTATTTCAAAATTTTCACGCCTATTTTGGCTCTTAGGTCCTCGTAAACCCCTCTAATCGACATTGCGGCACACATTGATTACAAAAATGTATATACATTTTGTTCCTCTATGGATAAGCTTTCGAATGGTGTATAAGGTTTTTCTGTAATTAAGGGCTGAAGGGTCTTAACAGTTCATTTCATTATTCAAAATGTCCATTCCATTATTCAAAATTGGCTATTTCAAAATGTTCACGCCTATTTTGGCATTTAGGTCCTCCATAACATTAAAACACGGAATTTCAGTTAAGAATAGTCTGGGAAACCCACTAGTGTAACCTCCGAAACTAAATAAATAAATTAGAAATAAAATGTTCAGAGTGTATTTTTTTTTCTGATATCAATTATAAAATATGTAAATTTACATAAAAAATGGCAAATTCAGAAATACGAGATTGTGTCACAGTCAAATAATAATTAAATGATATATTTCATTATTTACTTTTCAACTTGAATACTGAAACATGAACTATTTTATTATTCATTATTCATTACTAAACGTTGAATAATGAATAATGAACTATTTCATTATTCATTATTGAATTTTGAATAATGAAAAATGAATAATGGACGTACTTCAGCGCGGTGGAGATTCTAGGCATTTCATAATAATTCTTATAAACTTGCATAGATTGTTCAGTTCATACGGGTTGTTGCTATTCATTAAACCTTGAAATTTTAAAATATTTGGTCTGTTTACAAAATGATGCTTTAGTAGCATTTGTCTACTTTCGTCTATTGCCGAGCATTCTAAAATATAATGGAACTCGTCGCCAATATTACCGGAATTGCTCAAAGTACAATTAAGATTTTCTCTCTAAATATTTTGCCATTTACCAATTTCGATAAGAATTTTTGTGTTCAAAGTTCTAAATCTACAAAAAGAAGCAATATTTTTGTCATCTAAAATATCAAAGTAGGTTTCGAAATTTATACTATTTTTGAATAATTTATAATTTAGAGCTTTTGGAGAATTCTGTAGAGTAGCATACCATGTCTGTCTGAACAGGTCAGTTAATCTTAGTTTTAGTCCCAAAAGTTTCGAATTTGACACTTTTAATTATTTCCAATTTAAGATTTTCTACATTTTTATTCGTATTTTGCCTGTTTTTGTGGAATGATGCCTTCTCTCTGTCTGATTAAGACAGATTTAAATATTGACCATCAGCCCTTTTACTGATGACTTTAAATTAAAAAAAATAAAAATCCCTGACAATAATAACAGAACATTCAGTACAATAATTCAAATGAACACATAGCTAAGAGGGTGATACTTTTTTTTATTGAAAATTGTTACCCCGAGAAAACATTGCCAACCGAGGCATTTTTACTTCGATGAAAAAAAGCTTCATATCTCCCTAAAACACCATATCAATAATTGTGAAGTCCATTATTTAAAGATATTTCCATATGCAAGCTCTGCTAGGACTAATTTCTAAACTACTTCTAATATATTACATAACATATTTAGTGTGATAGTCCCAGGTTATTTTAAAGACTCCGGATTTTTTATTTCCTTCAAGTAATTTTGGTTTCACCTATTTTAAACTATGCGATATATCGGAATTTATTTAATACTTTATAATTTAATTTTGGAAGGTGTCCTCGTTGGTGAATGTGTTGAATGTGTGTATGGAAGGTTTGTTTTGTGGAAGTGTGTGTGTGAATATGTGTGAATGTGTTAATGTTAATTTCTTTTTCGTGTCTTATTTTCTTATTTTCTTTGTGTTTTTCTTTTTTTGTTCATGAAATTCAATATTTGTTTTTTTTTGTTATTTATGGATTTATAATTTTTATATGATTTGCATATCGTCTATAGTAATAGAATGTGATTCGTTTGCTAGAATGATTTCCCTTTAAATATACATGTTGCTGAAACTATACAGCTGAATGTTCAGTGGTTGTCGTTTGTTAATGTGGTTCATAAGTGTTTCTCGTTTCTCGTTTTTATATAGATTAGACCGTTTGTTTTACACTAGTAATTTTTGGGACCTTTTACAGCTTGGTGTACAGTGTGAGCCAATTCTCCGTGTTATAGGCCGTACTTTGACCTATAATGGTTTACGTTTACAAATTGTGACTTGGATGGAGAGTTTTCTCATTGGCACTCATACCATCTCTTCTTATATCGTGTTATACGCTTTTTATTCATAGCATTATGTTTCTAAAGTTGGTCTTATGTCAAGGTCAAAATTTGAAAGGTCGTGGCGATCTTGATTCTTAATCTCTATGAAGGTCAGGTGTCAAGGGGTCAAATGGTATAAGGACCTCCAGAGTCTACAAGTTATAGCCTCCGAGTTATGGCTACACACGAGATTCCTTGGATCTTCGAAGGAGCTAGTCATACACAACTTGGTACTTTTGCATGTGCATTTTTTAACACTATCACATTGAAATACTGAAAATATCCTAGGTAATGTAGTACTTTTAAGTATTTTGAAATAGTTGTACTATTCCATTGCCAATATTTTACAGTACTGGATTTGTACTTAGATTTGTAACAGTTTCGTTCTTTTGATGTGAGAACATTTTAGGTACATAAAGTATTTTGTACCAATACTTTCAAATTATTATACTTTGAGTAAAGTGTCTTAGTAAATATTAGTAAAAATATGTACTAAGTACTATATATTTATTGTGACTTTATAATACTATACAACGTAGATACAAAGCTTCAAATTTGTACATTGTGCTTAGAATTTAAACGTGTTGCAAGACTTATGTGCTTAGGAAAGTGTTTAATTTCTAAACATAAAAAAATAAACATGTTTTGGCTCTCAGCACTTCGCAATAAACATGTTTTGGCTCTCAGCACTTTTCAATAAATATGTTGCTGTGCTAAACATGTTTAGCTACTTTGTCAAGTATATAAAGCTAAACGTGTTTAAATTCTAAGCACTTTCAATATTTAAACACTTTCCTAAACACGTTTAGAATTACAACACATTTAGGCCGAATACGGCATTCATATCACGTGCTAATTTTTGAGCGGGAAGAAGAAACAAAGAACCCGAAGTCAAAGGCCACGCTGTTTACTTCTGACCATAACTGACCGTAACATGACTGATTCAGAAAGGTAAGGAGTTATGATTATACTGTCTTTTATTTTGTACTGCCAATTTTAAATGATTATTGACAGTTATAAGCATTATTTACAAGTACACTACCGTATAGTCAATGCAGGAGAGAAAAGGGGGTACCACCCCACGAAACAAGTGCTTGTAAGAGCTTTAAGTGTTCAAACTATCTTGTGTATAGATGATAAGAGTTGTTTAATGTTCTATCATGCAAGTTTGCATTTATTTTTTTATTTATATATGTTCTTGGAAAGGAGTTTGTGAGGATAATTGTACTCCTCGGCAGATTATAATGGAACATGAAGGGTAGCGGAATCTGCCGAGTCTTATCAGGATGAGGTGCATCATTCGCAAATCCAGTGTCATATCGAGTTCATTGTTTTCGTAAGCACTTCCGATATGCACAATCAACATTTCCTCAAAATAAATAGAAAGATGCTTGTTTATTTCAATAGTTATAAGTGGTTGTGATTTTTTTTATAATTTTATTGATATGTATTGTTTTATTCTAGATGAGAGAAGTGCAGAGGAAATCATCATCTGTCTTGGCATGCTAAAAGAGGAGATAAAGAACAGTAGCAAATATGCTGCTAGGTAAGAATCAAAAGGGTATTTGATTTTAAAAATGCCAATATTTATTTGATCAAATGAATAATATTAAGCATGAAAAGAAGTTTTATATTAAAAAATATCAATTGATTCATCAGTAAATTTATGTTTTTATACCACGGTCCTAATGTTGTTATCTGGATCTTAAATCATGCTTTTACTTTTTGGTGTTGTAGTTCGTATTCTTATATTTTTAGATTAATTCTACTTAGTTGCTTATCAATATTTTTCTATATTTCAGGCCATTGACCAGCAGTTGGGTACTAAGAAAGGAGAAGCTCTTATTGACCTGTAAAATGAAAACAGGACATTTTCAAATTGTTTTGTTGTAGGGATGGGATACAAGTAGAAGATTGGCCAATATTATGTACATGTACCTTGATATGAATTTATTTTTGATTGTGTTCAATGATAAACTGGAAATAAATGATAACATAAATTCCTTTGTGTTATATGTTGTAATTTTGTTTTTAAAGCTAGAATTAGTATAATGATAATTTCATTTCAAAAGTTACGAATATTTGAAATGAAGAAAAAATGCAATAGTCGAATGACGTGAATTGAATTAAAGAAAAAACTCATTGAGATTGAAAAAGGTGTTGGTCACATTCAATTTGATATGGAAATTCCAGTTTCTTAGTTTGATGCATTGGCTCCTTTTTGTGATGGTATGAAAACCTATTTTATTGAGAGCTATCATACGTTTTACAGTCAAGCCTTCCGGAATATTAGTTTAATTGGGGCCTAATGAAGTAACGGCTTCTCACAATAAAATGATAAACATGTTTATTCACGACCCTTTATGGTCTAAACATGTTTACATTCAAAACACTTCACAGCTAAACGTGTTTCCAGACAAAACACTTCTCAGCTAAACATGTTTCCAGATACAACAATTCACAGCTAAGCATGTTTACAGTCTAAGCACTTTTTAGCTAAACGTGTTTCTAGTCTAAACGCTTTACAGCTAAACATGTTTACAGTCTAAGCACTTTATAGCTTGACACGTTTAGGCTGTTAGCTCATTAAATATTAAACATGTTCAGATTTAAAACATGTCAAAAATCGGTTTCATAAATGTGTTAAGGAAAGTGTTTAGGCTCTCAACACATTTTTTAGAGTGTAGGACAAATAATCTATACTGTAAAATAATAGTACCAAATAAGTACAACAGCTTCGAAGTACTACATTACGTCATTGTCAGTACTGAAGTGTTAGTACTAACAAAGTACATGTGCAAAAAATGGACTGTGAATGCAAGAGACGAAAGATCGAAAGATCCCAAAGGGTATATTGAAACTCTCAAGTCGAAAACAGACTGACAATGTCATACTCTCATATCAGTACTTAGTGTCTTTTTGTTGTTGGGATATACAAGTTCCCGGCCACGTCCACTCTGTGTTTTTGTTAGATGTATTTCTATTTGTATCCATCTGATGAGTTAAGCCTTTTTCAACTGATTTTTATAGTTCGTTCTTGTGTTGTACTGTTACACCACTGTCCAAGGTTAGGGGGAGGGTTGGGATCCGGCTAACATGTTTAACCCCGCCATGTATGTTTGTGCCTGTCCCAAGTCAGGAGCCTGTAATTCAGTGGTTGTCGTTTGTTGATGCGTTACATCATTTTTTTTCGTTCATTTTATGTACATAAATTAGGGTGTTAGTTTTAAAACTCGTTTGCATTGTTTTACATTTGTCATTTCGGGGCCTTTTATAGCCGACTATGCGGCATGGTATATGCTCACTGTTGAAGGCCGTACGGTGATCTATAGTTGTTAATTTCTGTGTCATTTGGTCTCATGAGGAAAGTTGTCTTATTGGCAATCATACCACATCTTCTTTTTTATATTGACAATGTCATGACAAAAAACGAAAAACAACCAAATATCAAACAACAGTACATAAAACACAACTTAGAAAATTAAACCTCTTGCTTACCGCAACCTTTACTACATATGTGGGAACATATCAATTTCATTTTCAGTGGCGGATTTATGTTTTTAAATAAGGAACTATTACTTCTTACTATGCAATCGTCAAACATTTTCGTCTTGTTATGGACGGCGCTATTTTTACAGTTACGGACAATTGCGCCCCCTCTTTTTCCTTCGAAACATTGAAACCCTCTTGAATTATGACATAAGATATTCAATTATAAAATGAAAAAGACTTCTTGTATTTGCACTGTATAACCATCTTACGAAAAAATTCTGGAACAATAAGTTCTTCATTGTAATAAAATCTGTCAATGTGTCTGCTTTTTATATTATACAATTAAAAACAAATATTTTACAATAAAAAATACATTTGCGTTAAGTATTTTGTAATTGCAAACATATTTCACTGATATATAAAGTTAACCGATGCTGACCCAAGTTGAACCATGAAATTACACGTGTCATAATTTTTACTTACCCAATGGAATCTTGATAAATCAATGCAGATAATAAGAGGGCGTACCTTATGTTCTCCGGTCTGGGAGTCCGTCCGTCAGTTCCGACTTACGTGTCAGGTTTGAGTTAGAGTTTAAGGTGTTTTAGTTGAAGTGTTGGTTAATTAATATCACTGGTTGCTTCCGTTGTGAGGTAACACAACTTGAAATTAACAGTAAACGTGTTCATCTTGATCTGGACCTTAAAAAAAACATATGCCAAATGTGGGGGTTTGTCGTAAATTCGCGGCTTACTGATCGAGGAAATGTGATAGCGGTCTTTATTTCAACCAGACTCCAGCTTGCAGCAAATTTTTATGAAATGCTCTAATCAAACAGATCTTTTTTCAAGCTTAATTGTTTTATACATTGCAATGAATGAACATCGCAATTGATAGGACACAACTCTTGTTCGTGTGTTGTGCTGTTGATGCTTGAATGTGATTCTCCACCTACGATATTATCGACACAGGCACGTGTTTAGATCTGTAAATATTTGTTTGAAGGGTTGAAAAACTAGTAAATATCCTTCGAATATATGATTGATTGATTGTTGGTTGCTTAACGTCCAGTGGCAAATATTTCATGCATGTTCAGGACGATCCTTTGAATACAAGAATTCAATGTATATGATACAATATCAATTCTACAGCTGTAATGCCGTCTACTAGTATTTAATGTGATAAAACAGGCACACTTTTGTGGATGTTTTTTCTACTGATCCTTTCTCTAATCTGGTACCAGATTGTTTTAAACAATAACGAAAGAATGAAATTATAATTTAACCATAACATGATGAAATATTTGAAGAAATTGACTTCAAAATAATGAAATCAATAAATGAATTTGACGATGACTTATTGCCATAAAACAACTTCTTGCAAATATCGGTTTTCAAACATATGATAAAATGCTTACAAGTTACATATAAATATGTATTGCTGAATAAAGTAGTGACATTGTGAAACGAAAATTTGTATATCTAGTTAAAAATGCTGATAAAGATGCTGTATGAATGCCAATGAGACGACTTTGCACCAGAGACCAAATTACCTACATCACGCGCATGTAAGCAATGAAAAATGTTTCTTAAAAATTGATTGATATTTCCAGATAAATTCTAAATGGCAGTTCTGAACACATATTTTCAAAACTTTATAAAAGCTTTAATTGGTAGTTTGCTCCTTTAAATGGTAAAATCACAGACAAATTTATTGTGATAATTGTCTAGATGATTTTACAAGCAGTATAAATACATAATTGTAAACTCAGTATATCTGCACAGAGAACAGAATAATTATACTTTTCGCAACTCGTTTCGACGGTAAGAATGCACCAATTATATTGTCTATGCATGGTTCTCTTTCAGAATCTTAAAAATTGTGGGTAACTTTATTGTGTGCACGCCTGAAAGCTAGAATGAACTAATTTCTATTGTCCATAAATCTCCTTCAGAATATAGTAGTATATTGTAGTGACTTAAATTGGTCGTATTACATGACGTAATTGACGCCACTCCATTGGTTGGTAATCCATTTTCAGGATGATGTTGTCCAATCACACGTTTCGGTCAGCACTTTTGAAAATATTTCCTAAAATGCATCACATTCTTAAACGGTTAATTGATATAGACAGATGTTCTTTTTGTTCTTGCTGCACATAATGATTCATGAGACTATAATAATTATACATAGAACATCTTTAAATAGATGAAATTCATGAAAATCAAACAGCAGCAACCCGCGGAGTAAAGTGCATTCTCGCCATATTTCATACTTTGTCAGATTTATAAACTTTACTGGTATATTTGAGTTCAGTGTAGATTTTCCATCTTAGCAGTAACGATTTGCTAAATAACATAAATGAGACATATAAAAGCTTAATAAACGCCAACTACCAACAGATATATCTTTAAAAGCGAAAGCTAACTCTTTTGCCATTTCATCAGTTGAAATCAGCATTTCAGAGGCACTTATGTTCATGAACAAATTGTGAACAGTTTATATAATTGCTGCCACAAATCAATTTGGAAAGTGAGTATTAAAGTCGATATGATCATAGCTACACACGATATTCATCATTCATTACCAATTTTATCCAATCCAAATTGAACATTATCATAAATACTCATTTTAGACGACGATTGCTGTTGAAATGTCATTGGTCGTCTTTCGGATGGATAAACCAATGGTTGAGGCTCTGGAATATCGTCGTTCATACTACGCCATGTTTGACCTGAGCTGCCATGACTTGAATATGACATCATCGGCGTAGTGTCAAATGTGTTATCATAGTCTTCACTGAAAGACCTTTGAACTTGCGGGCCTGATCTTATTGGTTGATTAGTCATGTGATCTCGTTGTGTCAACGTGCTGTAAGGTGTCGGCTGCGATGGTTGCAATGGTCCTCCACCATGAGTAGACTTTGGATAGTCATAATTTGCGTAGCCATTCTGAGCGGGATATTTTGGATTCGGGTACCCATAAGGAGGTGGAGCAGGCTTATTAGATGTGTAATATTCCATTGGAATAGTTCTGTCTCTAGAGGTCTGGTATTCTGGACGAGTGTTCAATGTAACGTATTTCTTTGGATAAGACGAGCCACTGCGTCCATTTTTTAGACTAGATGGTGAAGGTGGTGGCTTTTTGTCAATGACAGCATATGTTGGAATGAAATCTGGCTGATCTACTTTCTCCGGAGCAATGACGTGTATACCATCCTGAAATAAAAACGTTTTATATAAATTTTTGACACTTCTTTTTCTTGCTATTATTACCAGTGTGTATACAACTTGAAGCAATGTTTAGCTTTTCTTTTTTGCGTCCGTTTGTTTTTTTATGGTGTGAAGTAAAAACAAAAACAAAACAAAACGGTTTTTTATGGTTTGAAGTAAATACAAAACAAAACAAAACAAAACAAAACAAAATAAAACAAAACAAAACAAAACAAAACAAAACAAAACAAACCAAAACAAAACAAAAATCTTTTGAGAGTGTAAACAATTATTTGGGATATTTAATGGGCCAATTGACATTTGAACTTAAGTGATATTATGTTTGTTCTCAATTCATTATTTGGTTCAAATATATAGAAACATTATATGCAAATGTGTAGTTTGTTAGAAACAATTGATGAACAAGGATAATTTTAATGTTAAAAATTGGTGTCAAACATGCATAATTTATATTCTTATAGATGATGAAAATATCATAGTATTCCGAAGAGCTTTTCTATATTTACATTCACCAGGAACATTCAAACATAAGCATTTGGGAACCAGTAATATATACATAGCAACATTAAGAGAAAATGGAACCTAAGAGAAATAGCCAAATCCATCGAAGGCCAACTTTGCCTGAGGGAGTTGAAATCGTTGTTTCTTAATAATTTCTCAATCAATCAACGGGGATTTTTTTTTAAATATGTTATAATCATGTCAGTACCGAAGCACTAACTACTGAGTTATTGATACCCTAGTGGTCTAACAGTCCACAAGCAGCGGTATCGACCCAGTTTTTAATTTAGTGTCCTTTTCTTCCTGGCATATTGATAGGTTTTGAAATTTTGACTTTACGCAAATTAAATCTAAAACAGACAGTCACTTGTTTATCTCTTGTCACCGTCACTAGGTAACAATTGCAACATGACGTATATAGTTGTATTTCAGTATGTTAGTGAAGTACTGATCGTAGCCCCTGGAAACCGTCATAATTGCTTCCGTTAGTGGAAATTTTTCTAAGTGTATAAGTGAGTGCGAATTTCATATAAAAAAACTAATCTGCTGTTTCTGGAATAAATGCAACCTTGTCATAATTGCTGTTCACTATTTTAAAATGAATTTTCATTTCCTAATTATTACGCTGTGCTTTTTTTTAGAATCCTTTGGTTGTCGTATGTCATGCATGCATCAATGTTTTTCATCATTTGGCGATTCTGGTGATGATGGCAGATTTTTTATTGTTTATGTTTACTTTATACACAACTTGTAAAGACTAATGACGATTTAGAGCTTGACATATGGGACAGACACGTGTCTATTTTTTTCTTTATTCTTTTTTTGTCACTATTCTCTGTGCTTTATATTTCAGCACCTCATTATTCTCTATTCTTTATTTATCTGGCCTGCTTTCTCTATTCCTTGGGTTTTTTTTTGCCCTTTAGTCTGCACTTTTTGCCTATTATTTTCTATTCTGTTAACCCCATCCAGACCGTCGTACCTGTAGAAGGTATTATACAGTAAATTGTACTTACAAACGTTTGGGTTTCCTGATCCCTCAGCCTCACCACGAAACATGAATGTAAACACAGAGCTATACTGACCAACACTAATATAAGTCCAATAGCCAATAAAATACCTCCAGGAATTGTTAAAGGGCTGGAAAAGAAACAAAGTTATGTTACAGATATATTGGTAAATCATTTAGACTTATCTTTTACATAAACAATTTCTCTTTTCTCTTTCCGACATACAGACACGTACTAAGAAAGGTTCCATTTGGCTGTGTTAAATGTATAAATACGCAGCCACGTTCAGTAGGAATTGGGACATTTAATCATATGTCCAATGTTAGGCGAGTGCCACTCTGAAGAAACCTTACTTAAACTCATTTAAGGGTCCGAAGGTCACCTGCTTTAAAGCAAAGTTACTGTGTCTATTACAGTTTTCTGAATACTCTTTTCAAGTAGGTCCATTTTGCTTCAGTGTTAAATTTTTTCTCGTCTAAAATGTGCATACCTGATTTCAAAAACAGCAAATTGCAATAAAACAAATTAACCACTAATTATTTAAACACATAAAACCATCAACCAAATAAAATGTTGGCCCATTGTTGAGGGTCTGGATCGTGTTTACAGATTAGAGAATGATGGTCAAAGAGTACAGAAAAAAATGGGCCAACCAAATGAAGAATAGAGTGAACAAAATAAGGAATGGATTATAATGGGGTGCTAAAATATAAAGTAAAATAACAAAAATTCCGAACTCCAAGGAAAATTCAAATAGGAAAATCCCTTATCAAATGGCAAAATCAAAAGCTCAAACACATCAAACGAATGGAAAACAACTGTCATATTCCTGACTTGGAACAGACATTTCCTTATGTACAAAATGGTGGATTAAACCTGGTTTTATAGTTAGATTAACCTCTCATTTGTAAGACAGTCGCATAAAATTCCATTATATTGACAACAATATGTTAAGAATAGAGAACAAAGGGCAAATTAAATAAATAAAGAAGAGAAAAATGGCATAAAAAAAGAGTACAGAAATATTGGGACAGATTGACAACTTCAAACTAGAATCTATGACAAAAGTGAACAAATTAAGAAAAGTATTCCTGTGTCAATTAGACGCAAATGTCATTGCCAGTCTGGGTTTGATGAAATATATTCGCTAGAAAAGATATCTCCCACGCCCCACCCCAAACAGTCATAAAAATCTCTAAGATTCCCTCTTATGAAACGAAGTTCCTGTATTATTAGATAATTGCAATTTAATATAGAAATATACTCTTTTGTAATTTAATTATTATAGTTTCATCATTTGTTGATATATCTGAACAAGAAAATTTAGTTTCATTTTGAAAAGTAATGATACTGACATTTGTACTGTATGTGTAGCTTTCATTTAAAGCAAAACATAATGTTGTTAAGAACTGTTGTAGTATTAAACCTTATTGTCATATCTTGTTAATATAGTATAAATAACACCTCCTCGCTATGAATACATAAAATGTGTGTCTCTTATCATTGAGAAAACATGTCTGTTTATTTTGATTATAATAAAAAGATATGTGGGTCATACATATATCTACGGTTTTTAATAACAAATAAGTTTCTATATCGGATATAGAAACTTGTGTGTTATTAAACGTATATTGACCTATTTATCGTATGTCGAGCTCTAAATTGCCTCGAACGTATAATCGCCATATAAATCAGAAGAATAAAAAGTGAAATGTCTAAAAAATTTCCAGTGGTCCCCTAAACATTTTTATTCTCAATTATTATCTTATACTTCATTTTACAATAACACATTTTTGCATTTTTTTTTTTACCTTCAACTGTATTGTATTTGTTTTGATTGATATTGTATGTTTCTCTGTAAACTTGTACTTAATTTTTAGAGCATTATTCAAGACAGGCGCGGTTTCAGATCTATTTTGAAAGGGGGGGGGCTGTTACAACCCAGAACACCATGGAACGTTCACATAACTTAAAAAAAAATAAAAAAAGGAGGAGTGTCCAACCCCCTGACCCCCACCCCCAGGATCCGCCAATGCAAGAGCTACTCATGATCCCGGGACAAACTAAGAAAGTAAATCAATGACTGTTTTTAAGTTCCGGTAAGTTACAGACGACCGTCACAATGAAGCCCAGGACGGTAAACAGTTCCATATAGAAGTTGTTAATACACAAAACAGAACGCTGAGCTGGTTGTTGGTGAAAAGGAATTTGTATTCGATGTTTTTATCTGGATGCATAACTTAATATCGCATTTCTGTTACTGATCTAATACATAGGTAGTTGACCTATCGCCTATTAAACTGCAGTACTGTTTGCAATATCATTCATAAAACACATGGTTGTCATGGAAGAAGCAATAGGCAATTTGTATACGGCTACTTGGAGTCAATTTTGGCAAACAGACAAATGCTGTATCATCAGTTCTATCAAATTATCAGAGATAAAAACCAATGAATTCTTCTTTTAATATGAACTCATATACATCAATTGAATTGAATTTCATTTTATAAAAACTAGTGTTAGATATACTTTATTAGAGATTTTTTTCAGATAAAACTGAATTGCTACACTTTTTACTTGTTTAATTCTTTTTTATGTTTCTTTATAATTCAAGATATAAAGAACCGCGATTGAAAGTTCATATATAAGTATCAAAATAAACAGAAATCTATGATTTATACTCCTGCTTTCTCTGCAGTATGCACAAATCTTATTTAATAATAAGAAGATTGCCAATGAGACGTCTCCAGATTTTAAAGTCCCCACAGGTTACTTGGGAATAGAAATATGGTAACTTTTGGTCTTCGTCCCACCGACAGTAAAACTCTTTCCAAAGTGTGGCGTCCGTTTGGTTGTGAAGGATGTATAAATACGCAGCCACGTCCCGTCAGATTGTGGACGTCAAATCTGATGCATCGTATAGAGAGTAACATGCTCTCTGCACGTCAAGAACCCTTGCAATAACTCATAGGTAGCCTGTTGCTAGGCTAAATATATGTCCCTATCCAATATACCTTAATTTTCCAGTGGCAGCCCAAATTTCCCGCGCTTCATCCAGATCGACCCCCATTACAGGTCCTACCTATTGTATTTAATATTAATTTGTTCGCGTCTTGAAAATGCATGAAATGTTTGCCCCTGGATGTTTAGTACACAGCATTAATCAATCAATCAGATCTTAAAAGGATATTCATCGGGGTTTAGTTGTTCAACTTGTCGTTTAGTCTAAAACCTGTTACTCATCTCTACGTTAAATGTAACGATAAACTCAAGTTAAGGACAAGTTGAACAACCGGCCCCAGTAGTCCATATTACACACTAAGATTAACTACGACACACAAATATCGCGTTGCTTTCTAAAAATATACGAATATTGCAATGAAAAAGAATGATATAGTTGTTACATACAAGTAATTGTCGACACCTGAGGAGAAACAAGGTAATCGTCTTCATCATCTACCTGTCAAGATTACATCTCAAGATAGATACACTGACATAAATATATCTAGTTTATTTACTTGTTTACACAGTTATAAACGCCACTGGACATATTCCAATATCAACGTTACTAGGACAAGGCTAATTTGCAACAGAATCAACAGATTGGGTGGTCAAGCAGAGTCTTCGTCCACAATCGACCTCGTAGTCACTGACTCATTTCGACAATGTTAATTTATATAGTAGTCCCCTTAAAACAAACACAAGTGCAGAATTAGGAGTGCATATTATTCAAGAGGGTTCGAGGAGAGGCAGACTTTTAAGATGTTTTCACACGCGAACATTTATTTTCAATCATGACGAGAAACGATTATTTGTGTTTAGTGAGACATTTTCGTGCACACATATTTCCAACATTTTGGTAAGGATATTTATTTTGTTAAGATGTCTTTGTATGGATTATCTATTATGTCAATTGAAATGCCATGCCATTTATTTTTAAAATCCTTCTGATCCCAAATGCTCAAATTGCCACCCAAAAAAAATCTACTCTCACTTGATTTATTTCGCGTTTGCAAATGGGCTATGATACATACAAAAATCTATATTTTTATGACATGAATGACTTGTTTAAATTAGTTTGCCATCCTTACGAAAAGGATCCCTTTAAAGTTTGTATCGATAAATTAACAAAATTTACAGCAATCGTTTTTGCAAGAGTCGATGGTTTAAAAAAGTATAGAATGATTTACGTCATGTACCTGTGCAAAACCCCTACCCAATAAACAGATGCAGTAAGATTGGCATTCAAAACAGTTGTTTTTTATTTCGTGTACAACAGATTTTTTTCTATGGTTCTGATTTACCATTGTGACTCTAATGGATTTTGCCATCATGTCCGGCAGATTTGATCCGTGTGTCACCTATTTTTTCTGCAGTATATGAGTATCAATAGCTGGTAATAGGGTGTTAAAAATTGGGCTTTTTCGATTAACCATTCGTTAGGTGCACTCGAGACAAAAAGTATAGAAAGCAAAAAAATAAAACGTTTGAAACATTTCTGAACTTGTTTTTATCAAATATCTGGAAAAGGATAGGATCTACACATACTAACATATATAGGCGACAGAACTATATGTGGAGTGAAGGGTGGAGGAATAATGTTTACCGTCTCTTCGATTGGCACTTTTACACTTCTCATCCTTTAAATTAGTTCAAATTGAAAAGAAACAATATACTGAGTCTGTCCTATTTCCTGCTCGCCAAATTTTTAAATAAGCACATAAAATCTCCCGGAAAGTTTGTTCATACACCGTTGTAACATGCAAAGAACGATTAACTTCGATAATTCGATGCTTATATGAAATACCGATATCAAAATGTTTAAACAATTTTTTTAATCATGCCTGCATAAAAATATACAAAGGTAAAAAACTATTACACCAAGAAATGTTTGGAAAACTGACAAAGTGCAGATCACATTTTGCACGTGTTCCACGTGCATTTCTTTATTCTCGTGGTAATTACGGAATAATATCAACATTCTTCATCTGTATCACGCTCAGTAATCGGTCTGTACAAGGGTTTGTCATCAATCTTCGAGCTATCAAAGACATGCCTTAGTCACAAGTATAATCTTTGAAACCTGATGTGAATAAACACTAACGTAGTGTGTTCTGACTGACTTTGGGGCTCTAGATGGAATAGTACAAACGTATATGATTACTGATATATGCACCATGGGTTATTACATAAACCAAAAGCCAAATGTCCTCTACGAGATATTTATTAGACTTAAAGTTAACTCATCGAAACTTAAAACGGAAGTTAACGAGGTAAACATAGATAACTGTCTTGGGACAAAGGACAATTTCCTGAAAGAATGCGTATCGGATAACAATTTTTTTTTAATCTTTTTAAACTTTTAATAAACACACGTGTAGTACATGTAGTATAGTAGCTCCAACCTGGGAAGACGTTAATTAATTCCTCTTTGTAGCTTCAATGCTTAATACGTGGTGGATAATTGTCTCATTGGCAATCATACCTCATCTCCTTATTTTTATATACAACAACACCAACTTTTTGTAGTTTTTGCGTTTTTTTCTTCTATGACCACTCGTCTAGTTCAAGTCTTCAGTAAAGTTAAATAAAATAAAATAAAGTAAAAATAAACCGGCAATATCCAAGCATCGTCACCATCATGGTGCAGGAATGCAAAACAAGTCATCGATCACCTTATAACAGTTAGAAGAAATATGCACGCATTGTTGACATACTAGAAATGTCGTCCCGGTCGTGACCTTAACACATGCACAAGTGTGCATATACATAATTTACATATAGAAACTTTACAATGTGTGTCTATCATTAAGACAATATTCATGTTTACAAACAAATTAGGTTTGCTATACCTGAAGTAACCAATAATACAAGTGATTTTGATCAGATTGTGCGATTTCCCTGACAACAAAGCTATGATTAGTCTCCCCGGAGATGTATAATCACATCACACTTTAAGTGGTGATAAATTTCATGTTAATGAGCAAATCAATTACATTAGCCTGACCCCCATAGGAGATAGGTGTAATTAAAGCTCGCCAATTGGTTTGGTTATTGTAGTGTGTTGTATAATTTTACGTGTAGAAAGCAGTAATTGACAGGTTGGATAACGGATACATTAGTTGGATAGGTAATTAAATGCCAAAGTAAAACATGCCTTTCATCCAAATATTTTGTTCGGATTTTCTTTTTTTTTTAAAGCTGCATGAGAGTGTCTGACTTTCTTAACCGAAGAGTACAAATAGCAATAACGGAACTTTTTTCATATCTTGCTAATTTCCTAGCTTTTTATTATTATTATTGAAAAAAAAGATGTTGGGTATACGTCAACCAGATCGCAACCTATCGACTCAAAAAATCCGAAAGACAACTGAGAGGTCACCGTGCAGTCTTCAAAAACAGACAGGTGCATAGAACAACAAAAATATTTGCGTCTTTATTTAGTAGATGCTACACTGTACATGAGTTCATGCAAAACCGATTTTACAAACTTTTCAATGCAAAACTACTTTTAAAAATTTTCATATGCAAAACCGCTTACACAAAACTTTTAAAATTTAATTGCAAAACCGCTTTTACTTTTACCAAACTTTAATTTATATACCATTTTATATGCTGGTAACCACGTCGTGTTTATGAAGCATGTGTTATTTTTATTACAATGTTTACTACACTTGTATGTTATTGATATGCAATAAACAATATACCACAAAAAGCAAATACCCCGTGGTCAAAATCAACACAGCTGATATTCCGATTTTATTAATAGATAAAAATAAAATATTTACCCTCGGTCATTGTGTATTGATATTTAATGTTTTTTCTAACCTACTTTTATAGATAAAAATATTGACATTAAATACGAGTTTGGTTTCTGTGTAAAGATAGATCTTTCTTTCATACAAAACATTAAAGGACTCTTAATAATTGTTGTTTTAATCGCTGAAATGTAAAAAGAGGGGGGATACCAATTGGAAAACATTCACATTAAATTTTTTGGAAGCATTGAGAATATTTTAACCAACTAATATTCATCCAGTACATTAAATACAAAAGTTGACTTTCTATAACAAAAATATTTGACGTATTAAAAATACGTCACTGTTTGTCAAGTCCTTAGAAAAGGGGTAGGGCGAATTCTTTAGAGTTGTGCTTTTAACTTACAATGTACCATACACAAAACTGCCGGGAATGGTTTGAGATATTGATGCATGTTCAACATGTTCAAGTAAATAAACATTAAATACTTTTCAGAATTGTGAGACATTTAATAATCTATAAATTTAAAACAAAGTTTTTTCTTGGTCTACATACCTTCCAACGGCAAGAAACACGGTTCCAAGGAAAACAAAAAGACTTCCAAACGAAATGAATGCTAAGACAACCTTCGGAGGTATTAGCCAGCCGTGGAAGCTACATATTCGTTCGTATTCCTCTCCTGGTATCCGCATAATGCTAGTTTCCAGATTACAAAAACAATCGGAATTCTCTATAGGTCGTCATTTTCTCAAAAGGTCAAACAATTAATCCATAAATGTCATATTCAAGTCATTATGGTCGCTCCGTCGTCCCGACTGTGGAGTGCAAATTTTTCTCAGTCAATATTAACCTCACTATCGTTTAAATACTTTTGTTATTGGACATTCTTAACCGTACACAAACTATTAATATCAAACTGTTCCCAGATAAAAGGATTTTTATATAAACTCTCAGGACAACTTTGGGCGGTGATATTTTATGTACACAGTTATTCACGCGTTTGTAACGGATTGAAATGAAAGAGTGATATGATATCTCCTTCACATTTCGAATGACTTTCTCAATTATATTGTTGCTATGGTAACATATTTTGTGTATGGGACGTGGTTGTGAAAACGATTGTTTATGTCTGTTTTACAGGGAGAATTATTGCCAGCTTGCACCAATCTGCACAATAAGCAAGCTAATTAATTTACGGCTTGTGTAATAAATTCGATTATCAGCGTTATTACATTAGGTGAAAAACTGTTTATAATCCATGGCCAGAGGAGAAAGATGTTTGCATTTTCTAAAAAATCTTCATATTTTTTCCGCATATTTTCAAAAGATGTTTTAAAGCTTTTACCTAGGCTAAAGTGAATTTGACGAAAATATTATTGGTATATCTGAATAGAAGGATCAGTCTTTATTGTCCATCGAAACACATAACACGCGTATTCAGGACGACAATTCACGATTTAATCAGAAAATAATCATTTTTGTACAAGACTCCGATAAAATAAGCAGTATTTTTTACGAGTAACCTTCCGCAGGAAGACGCCACCTAGACACATCGACATGCCGCTAGCCTGGTATCTTGGTCCAATGTTGTATACTTCGTCGATAGCGCGACAGCGTTAGCAAGCAGTGAGCCAGGACCTCAGGCTAACATGCCGCGTGCTTGGCGGAGAAACAGCAACTATAAATGTTAATGTCTTTACATGCAGAATGAATCGGCCTTCAATGGAACTCACGATCTTCCGAACTCGATGGTTCCACGATACAGCAAGACAATCGATGTGTCACAAAATTGTATATTTGAATCATTATTTTTCCGTACATTGAAATCTCATATGCAAAGATTATTTTAACAGCAATTTCAGGGTGTTTGTCCAGTTAAACCCGGTATTTTTATTTGGTTCGTGTTACTCAATTATTCTTTGTGTGTGTTTTAGGGACTGCAGTTTGTCGATTCTCAATTTTTCTTACTGTGATGTTTTCTGTTTTTCGTCAGTTTATAATAACATGTTTTGTATCTTCTACCTATTCTTTGTGTAAAATAAACTTTAATAAAGATTTTTTTAAAACCACACACACATTCAAGTGAGCAAGAACCAAACCAGTGTTTTTCTTTGTATGGTACTCAGCAGGTTCTTATAAATATCACCTGTTCGTGTTCTGATGTGCGTGTAATATTTGCCAATGGACGTTTAACACTAGTCTAGTCGTCATCACCATCATATTTTTTTTAATTGTCATGCTCATGTATATAGAGTTAAAAGCTTAATAATTATTTTTTTTTCAAAATCAAAACTTTTTTTTTCTTTTCTTGCCAATGTTTGTATTTTAGTGAATTATCTATTAATTAATTTATTCGTTTATAAAATTTTGAAGTAACTTGTAATACACACATACACAGTCATACATAAAATACAGGGTTGGCTTGCATGTATATAAAAAAATAGAAAAAAAAATGTGTTCATTTAGTGACTTGGAGATACGTTTCCACCTTATTAAACATAGTAATAGATTAAAGTAAAAGATGTTGTCCACGGGCAACCTGAATTGATGACTGTATGAAACATTACGTACATTTTTGTAAATATCTTGTTTAAAGCTAGCATTTATATGACAGTTTTTGCATATGCGTACAACGAACGGACGTAAACTAGTCATAAATTCACACCCAGGCTGATAACCCATATCAGCCCTTATGTGAAGTCACGTGGCCGGGTTGGTATGGGGTTATCAGCCTGGATGCATTCGTACATCTGTAGTATATGATAAAAAAATTAATACATGTCATTTTCCATATCGGCCGGGTATCATCCCTCGACCCATATAAACCCTCGATTAACGTACCGGGCAGATATATATATGGGAGTCTCTGGATAATGTATTAATCTGTATACATATAACACTGTATAGAAACTCTGTCAAGAATACAAGTGTCTATCTGTTTAATCATACCTTTGACTTAAGGATGTACTTATAGGTGAGGTTTAGGAATTTTTGTCAAATGTTCGGACTCCTTGGTTTTTTCTCTACGATACAGGGTATAATATTTTGCCCCATAACACCCATTTTTCTTTTCATATAAGACTTCAATAGCTATTAAAAGGTCATTTACCAAAATTTAAGCAGACTCTAGATTTCTTTTCTTTTGATCTGGAACCCAAATAATACCAATGCAAATATAAGGTAAAAGTCCGAGACAGCCTTTTCCCGCAATTTTCAAAAAATTAAATACTCTCGAAAAGGAGCTCCATAACCTATCAACATTTTTAGCTTATTTTGTTCCTTAACTCTCTTCTGACTTATAGTATCAAATTTATATTCTAGATTTTTTAAATTTCACCTAAGTACACCCTAAAGGTCTAGCATTTATGATAAGGCATATTAAATGTCGTAATCATTTTGTGTTCGTCGTATCATAAAAACAAACAAAAATGAAGTCAAAATACCAAACAAACGTTTTCCATATGATTACCATTCTTGAAGTCTACTTTTCAGATTACTTTCAGATTATATATCGGTCCGCGGTAGTTTGTTCTCATTCATTGATTGATTAAATGACGGCTGCTGGACGCCCAGTAGTAAATAATATCAAATGATCTTATAATCACATTCAGGATGAGAATTAGTGCAGCGGATCGGTGACAAAATTGTGGGTTTGATGATAAAAGCACCAAATTTGGCATGGTAGAAGTTCTTGGTGTTTCAAACAATATTATCTATGGACCCACCTGAAATTTCAAAATGGCGGCCTTATTCAAGATGGTCGCCATAAAATATCAAAATCAACATATATCATTTATATAAGGGCAAATTTAAGGACAAATTTGGGCTGGTAGTATTGCTGGGTGTTTAGAAAAATAATATATATGAACCCATCTTAAAATTTCAATATGGCGGCTTTTTCCAAGATGGCCACCACAAAAATATATCAAAATCATCAATCCCTTATTTAACTTCAAAGTTGTCATGTGTAGTGCTGGGTGCTTCGAACAATATAAGCTATGGACCCAACTTGAAATTTCAAAATGGCGGCTTTTTCCAAGATGGCCGCCATAAGATATCAAAATTAAAAAAAACACTTATAGAAGGTTACAAAGTGTTTTGTTTTGACGTATCTTCAGTAAAACCTAGTGCCCTATAATACCAAGTGTATGCCACATTTATATTCTGAAGCCAAACATCAAAAGATTTGTGAGGAAAGTATAGAAAATCGTTACTACGGAACCATTCTTGCAGGACAGTCGTCTACAACGAGGGACCACGTAATGACACTAGCGTAATTAAATATTTAAGCTAGACTTAACTTAAATGTATACTTTTCGACTTGAACAGTTTTTCTCTGTGATCAACTGGAAGAGGACATAGTAATGATCTAAAAATTGCAGTAATCTCAGGCTTGCTAGGCCATTAACAAGGCGGGTGTTTGCTTCTTCTGTTTAGTTGCAATTAAACAAGCAACCGCAACAATCTCTTTGTATGACAACGATACTTGAAAAGCTGCACATGCAGGTAGTTCAAAAAGACATGGTGTAGGCTAAAGTCTTTTCAACAGTCATTAAACATATTAGTTGATAATCATTCAGATGCAGTCTAGTTATTTCATTGAGGCAAATACGACGCTATTCATTTCCAATTTACTTCTGTTTTATTTCTATATCATAGTCTTCTTTAACATTTCATTCAACTGAAATAAAACCATCTTCTACTGGATGCTAGGACCAGGAAAGGAGGTATTAAATGGCAAAATGTACAGTTTGTCGTTTATGAATGATTCAATTATCCATTTATCTACAGTACTAGAAGATTCCATTTATGAAACATTCATCATTGAATATGTAGTTCTTCCCGCGAAACCTGTAGGTTTTACAACAGCAGCCGTGGACAATATATATATATATATATATATATATTGACGACAAGAAGAGTTCAAATACAGCTAAAGAATCGTTACATTGTACGACAATTTCAATATTTTAGCCTTTTTCTAGTCAAACTTATTCATAACCTTTTGCTTTGAAATATATGCATTTACTTATAATCTCTGGTAATTTAACCAATATATTATGCGCCAGCACAACTGTTCATATTATTGCTTCTAGAAGATGCCCGCGAAATTGCGGTACAATTGGCCAAGTGTTGAAACAAAGAGTGTGGACACAGTAATAAGGTGGACACAGTAAGGATTTGGACACGGTTTATGCATTTAATTACATTTCTTTATAAAGAGGTGAAAATGAGGAACGTAATGCAAAAGACCCCATTCATCTTGGTTGGGAAATACAAATATTAAATAACCTAAGAAAAGTGTGGCAAAGTGTGATTTTAAGTAGTTTTTATCCCTTTCAACAGTAACTGAATAACCGTATGAGCTACGTGAAATCCGTTGACACTACCGAAACGGATGAAAATGAGTAACACAATGAAAAAAATCGACTGGGCATGCGCGAGAGCGTATAAGACACGGATCGATATTGGTCTCCGAATTTGGATAATGTCTCAAAAATTGGCGTTTTCTATGGAAAAAAAGTTGTTTAAAAGAAAAATTTAGGAAGTTCAAAACACTACATGTATTCGTCATATCACAAATATTTCCGACTTTGTATGGTTTCAGAGGAGTTGCGGCTCAATGAAATCGGTCTCTTCCTTTAGTAGTATAGATATATATAATAAAATATATCCTTTACACTAACCAAACATAACCATACGTATCATACTTGCATCTGAAAAGTACTGATTATCTGGTTGTCTGCATATTGATATCGCAAAATATCAGCTGCGAGTCACAATATGAAGCTTTTTGTCGAGTGATTAAATTGTCTTTCAAGCAACATCCATATCGAAATTTTGAAATTTTCCCCCATTTTGAAAAAAGTGTAATATAACGTCATGATTTACTTAAAAACGTTTGATTACATTTTATATGTCTTTAAAAGATTTGGTTTGACTATTATTTGCTTTAAAGGGAAACTTCGCAAAAAAATGAAAAATTGATATTATGTTGATTATGTATAAAAAACCACATATTCGTAAATATTAAAGTTTAATTCTGC